GCGCCTTGAAACATCCTTGAAACGCCTTGTCAATACACAAATTACGTCAACGCTCGGACTGTGCGGTGAGCCTATGTGTTATGCCCTTACTGCTAGTGAGGTGTTGCACAATATTGTCTATAGCCTGTGGTGAATTAAATGGCAAGAAAACGTTTCAGTGATGAACTACGTCAACCCAATAAAAGAAGATACTCTTAGAAAAGCTTGAAATTTAAATACTATAGCCAGAATATTTGTGGTTCGAATCAGATTACTCAGGATACAATAAAGCTTAACAGATTAGTATGCAAACTAAATATGTTGTTTTTAGTCAGTCACTCAACCTGGCAATGTACGAAGGACGTGTTTACCCATAGGTGGGTTCATGAAAATAAACTAAAATTACGCACCAAATGCATCGCTTACAGTAATTTTAGAGCAAAGATAAAGAAAGTGTACAATATAATGTTGAATAATTATTTGAATTTTTTTCTTGTTTTTCTCCTCTCGCTACTTAATAAAATTAATTAGATAGTATTAGCATATTTGGTGGGGGAATCTTTAGCGGCCATCGCTCGAACTTAAGCCAATACTGTGCATATCAGCAGAAAGTTTTAGTATACTAGTATATATTGCCTCGTTTTTTACATTCAAGCTAACAATCACAATACGTGACTGTTGTATTGTGTTGTAGATACGTCGTCGGAACGTGACATTGCTCAAAAACTACCATACTGTATGGGTAATATAAATCTACTGTGATTGATGAATTGATGACATGTCTCAATGACACGATGACCTGTTATCGTCCTTGAACTGGTTTTGGTATATATTTAGGTTTTATTACGTGTGATTAACGTCACTATAATAATGTTTATGTGTGTTAATGACAAATTTATACTAGTTTAATGCAATTAGAAAATTAATATGACATTGTTATCTCAACACAACAGAGATGGGGTTGACTACTAGAGAGCACAATGTATCTAGTTCAAAGTTGTATTTTGAGTTGTAACGATGATTCTGAACGACTAACCTATGAAACTCTTTATGTTATCTTGTACCATTGACTGCTGATTGTTGTCGATGCGTTCTCGGAATAAAGACATAACTTGTTTCTGTGTGCTATTCATTGGCTATCATATCTGATTCCATAATCCCATATACGTATATGGGTACGCGCTCAGACTCATTTGTTCAGGTTCTCGATTATATCTTACCTAGTTCCCTGTACGTTTTGTAAAGAAATATTTTCACCAAAGACAACTTCAATGTCCCAAATAATTTCCCATACATTAATCACCAATGTGTGCACCTTCAGTGGGCACTAAGGCAATTCTAGAATATCAGTTGTACGGGTAATATACCTCACATGGACATCAGCATGAAAAGCAATAGGATGGGATAGAATCTTCGCTGCATTGAAACTGTAGGTCGCAAAATACTCTTTGGCTGAAGAGCCTCCGGTGTGTTGCGTGAATTCAAATGCAAAATTTGTTTGGATACGTGTTTAAACAAATTCTAGGATAGGTTGTTCGCCACAGCTTGACCAGTACCGCATTTATACATAATCTTACGTTAATAAAACAGAAGCACAGGCTTTAATAAAGTTATCACATCCAAATTTATAAACGCGACTGCTATTTGTCATCTGCCCACATGAGTTATACTATATATCTCGGTAGCTCTGCTTAATAAAGCAGTGTAATGTTGATTTCGCAATACAATGTAAAAACAATTTCAGTAATATGCTTGGTGTATGGAAGTGAATTGGAAATGCGACTCAAATGCTAACAATCTTAAATAACAATATCTAAATATCTTGATGGTTTTACAGTATATTTCCTAAAGGATTATCTGGGGTTACATTCATTCGAATATATCTTCACACTCAAAAAAAGTACAAGACACTTAGCCGTTCAAAAGAAAGGAATGAATTGTGTACTTAAAAAGTGTACATGAGAAAACGAATGCGTTGATTTGAATGCATGTCTATATTAAATCCGCTCCAGCAATTGAAAAGTGCAAATACAACAAATACATGAATATAGGAAAACAAATAAAACAAATATAAATGCATCTGTCGGTTACTTCGACAATGCTTTGATTTAGGCGGATTGAATGTAATTTGGTCCAACAATCATTATGATTATCTTCTAAAAATGAAACGTATAAAGCGTGAATATATGTGTAGGTAAACCAATCCTGGCAATACGTGAAGTGAATATACAATCATAAAATTGTACTTCGCGACCACACACTCAAGTCATCTGAAACTATATGACCAACACCACGATTATTCAGGCTGTAGTTCAAATAGAACATTAAGGGAATTGATGTCCTCATAAAATAATAGCCCTGTGTGGTACTGTAATATCACACACTTACTAAATCAAATCTATTAATTGTAAAGCACAACGTAATGTTATAATGGAAAATTGCAGACTATCTTGGCGCACACACAAAACGTTGACTACACGAGTTAAATTCACCAGGTCTAACATACATTCATACAAGCAAATGTGTTCATATTTTACAGTGCCCACGCTGATGAGTTTTCTTGAATAGGCTTTCACCCTGCCGAATTAATTATGTTGCTTCAGGGCGAAAATAGTAATCATCAAACACCAAATAAGAAAGATACTAGTAGCATACATCATCTCACTGAAATCTCCATTTATTTCTCCATATTGTGTCTTCATTCTTTACGTATCTAAAAAACGTGGCTTTGATTGGCGCAAAACCTAATATACCCATACAAATTTAAATCTACAGGGATTGGTGAGTTGATTTGAATAGCAGTGTCATCATGCCTCGTTATCATTCTTGCGCTGTGTGGCAGTTTTTTGAATCACGCCAACGTTGGTCATACACAGGTACGTGAATAAAAACAACCCAGTCAGTGGCAACTCACTCTACGAAGGGCAGACACGGTGTACCATACTATCCAATCTACTCCGATTGCAGTTAAACGGCGGATACTTGACATCACAGTTATTATATTACTGTTCACAATGATCAACTATGCTGATGGTGTTATTGGACTTCAGTATGACGATCCTGGTCATCCATTTGTAGTACTCTATATCATAATACAGTCAACATTCGTTGTTGTAGGCA